GGGACGGCTCCCGGGGCCCGCGGCCACTCGCGGGCAGCTCAGCCCCCACCCTGCTCTCTGCTCCGCCTCTGCCTGCCCTCGCAGCTGCCTTCCCTGGACGCAGCCCCTCGGACGGGCCCCACGGACGCAGCCCCACGGACGGGCCCCACGGACGCAGCCCCACGGACGGGCCCCATGGACGCAGCCCCACAGACGCGCCCCACGGATGCACCCCACGGACATAGCCCCTCCCGCCACCTGACAGAGGGGACGGCTCCCGGGGCCCGCGGCCACTCGCGGGCAGCTCAGCCCCCACCCTGCGCTCTGCTCCGCCTCTGCCTGCCCTCGCAGCTGCCTTCCCTGGACGCAGGCCCACGGACGCGCCCCACGGACGCAGGCCCACGGACGCACCCCCATGGACGCGCCCCACGGACGCACCCCACAGACGCAGCCCCTCGGACGCAGCCCCACGATGCCCACTGTGCAGAGGGGCGCTGTCATTAAGCCGACAGGCGCTGGTCCTGGGCGGGCAGGCCACATCCCAGCGCCGCATCACTGCAAGGCTTTCTGCGCGGGCATTTTATCAGGAGGACAGAAACGAGAGTGTCTGCCTTCCCCCGTGGGGGTGAGCACTGAAGAGCGAAGCAGAGTGGAGAAAGGAGTGGCGCTGGGAGACACCGACGCCGGTGCCAACATTTCTGGCAGGCAGCGGCCGCCCGAGACTGCGAACAAAAGTGGTGTTCTGAATGAATTAACTTGAGTGTCATCTGGACAGGAGGACGGAGGATTTCCCTCGGTCCCCTCTGGAGAATATGGCACTTGCAGCATGGGGGTTATTGTATGGAGACAAGTCGGATGCTGGGCCTCACGTCCCAGCTTGCCTTCAGGCCCTGGGTCCTCCGGGCACAAGAGAGCACGCCAGACAGCTCGCGAGCTGAGCACGGCCTTCAGCTCCTGCCAAGGGAGAGGAACTTGGCAGAGACCTCAACTCGCCGATGAAACCTCAAAGTAATGACCATGTCCGCGGACTGAGAATTTGCCGTGGACCTAGGGCAGAATCGAAATCGACTCTCACTGATAAAACGGAAACCAAACACCGCAGTGCAAGCTGATCGTCCAGTAACTGAACTGTATTTACAACAAAGCGCAGCAGGCTTCCGCACGTCAGCGGTCAGCGGGAACTCACCCCAAGTCTAGCACACAGTAACAGTTGTTAGTCGTGTGCGAAACAGAAATACGTGACGCGTATTCAAGGAAAGTTCCAGCATGACCCCGTATTAGAATTAGCAAAGAACTATAAAGCACTAGAATGATTAAGTTTAAGCAGTAAAGGAAAAGTCAGTCATAGTAAATGAGCAGAGGAAGAGCTGTGCAGAGAATGAAAACCTATAAAAACAGAATTAAAGTCTAGCACTGGAAAGGGAACTATTAGAAATACTACAATAAACCTGCAAGGGAGGTTTCTTAGCATCTTGGAGATGGCGGCAGAAAGTAGATGAAACATCAAACAGACGACTAGAGATGACCAAGCAGATAATTTCTAGAAATTAATAGAATCTCAGCTACTTGTGAAACAGTATCAGTCCAATATTTACGTTATCGAGCCTTGGAAGGAAAGGAGAGAAAACGTGGCAGAAGATCTGCTTGAGGAAACATAGTCAACCTGCCCAGGTTTGAAACATAGTTCAAGGTTTAGTGCATGCAGTGAGCCCTAAGTGGCATAATACAAAGACTAACGACGGTTAGGTATGTCACAGTCAAGCTGATAAAACCCAAAACCCAAACCCAGTGAATCTTAGACCCGCCTACTGACACACTCACGCGGAGATCAACAATTCCAGGCGTTCGTGGCTTTGTTAGACATAAAGGAGGCAGACGATGGAATCCCATCTTCAAGTGCTGAAAGAAGAATCTGTCAATCCCGAACTCTACACCCAGCAACAATAGTCATCCACTACAGGGGCAATGTGGAGACGTTTAAAAATAAAGGAAATGAAAACTGGGACAATTTGCGAGGGTGGGCCTGCACGAGAGCAGATGCTGAGGAAGTTCTTCAGCTGAAAGATAAGCGCCCCAAGAAGGAACTTGAACGGACAGAGAGGAGCGAAGACTGGAAACGGCAACTCTGCCGACCAGAGCAAACTCCGACGTGGCCCCTCGTAGTTCTTAAGAGACAAATGACTACGCAAAGCAAAAGCTGGCAACATTTCTAGATGTCAGGACGAGGGCAGCACACGGATTCTGTGCTCGCAGCTGTGCAAAGGCACAAGGCTCGGAGCGAAGACGGCGACAGGTGCCGCGGAAGTGCGGCCTGCAGAGCCGCGGTCCAGCGCGAGACGTGCTCAAAGGCGCGAGCGAGCGAGCGAGAGCCCTAGAACACCAGGAGGGGAGCGCCAGAGCGGCTGGAGAGCCAGGACTGAGATGACGCATGGGACGGGACGGCAGAGGGCAGCCGGAGCGCGGCCGCCGGCCAGCTGCCACAGGCAAGCCCCGCAGAGAGGCGGCGCGGAGTGAGGCGGCCAGGCAGCGTCCGCGGTGGCATTCGCAGCCACTCCAAGGCGCACACGGGCCTGCTCTGCCTGGGCCTCCTGGCCTCTGCGCAGGGGGACACCCGGGCCTCCAGGGCCCGGACAGCCTGTCTGACCGCGGCGGCCAGTCTGAGGGAAAGGCTGGAGCACTGGCCAGCTCCCTAAGAGCACACCCCTCACCGCCCTGGACCCAGAGTTCGCTGCCTCACAGGAGACCCCCGTGTCCTCACGCACGTGACGAAGCAGCGGACCTGAAGGCTGCGGGTGCTGGGTAGCTGCGGCCTGGCCACGGCTGGCCACGGGAGCTGTAGCAGGGCTGCCTGGGGCCAGAAGTGCCTCCGAGGAGCCCTTAGGCCTTCAGACCCCTCTTCACCCCCCTCCCCGCTCATCCCCCTCTCCTCACCACGGGCCATACGACCCTGAGCCCAGAGCCCCTCCACCCCGTCAGGCCACGCCTGCTGGCAGCGATGAAACAGCATTTCAGGAGTGCGCGCGCACACACGCGACTGTAACAAACGTCGCAACGCCTAAGCATGCACAGCTAACGTCACGCCCAGCGCCAGGCAGGCTGAACTCCACGGTCGCGCTGAGGCTTTCACACCCCCTTTCACTCGGGTACAAAACCCAAAAGGTCAAGCCACAGAATAGGGGAGACGCTTGCAGGCTGTGTCTGAGGACCCGTGTCTGGGACGACTGCAGAATTCTCACACACAAGACCGAGTAGCCCAGGGAAAGGTGGGCCGGCGACTCGGGCGGACATGTCCGGGAAGACGTTATCCCAGGAGCCGCGCACAGGACCTCGCGGCCTCACAGCTCTGTGCTTCTCTGAGGTGCCCGCGTGCACAGAGCTCGCGCTCACGGCCTAGAGAGCCCACCTCCGAGAGGCCAGAGAGCAGGAGGGAGCGCGGACCCAGGTGGAGTCCAGCTCAGGTGCTGGGCCGTGTGGCCAGGCCCGTGTCTCCGCCTCCCAGACTCTGGCGTCGTCACCTGTAAACGGGGCCCGCCCAGCAGCCTGGGCTGAGCACGCCCGAGCTCACCGGCCTTCCCTCCCCGCCTTCCTCCGCTCTCAGGTTCTCCAGACTAGCGACAGGACTGTGGCAGGGACCGTGGGCTGAGGGGAGAGGCCCGGTCAGGGCCTCATGTTAGGGCGATGTGGAAGAGGCCTGTTGATGGTCAGAGCACCTCCTCTAGGATGGTGGGCAGGGGCGCACCTGGGAAACACGCCGCGCCACGGCCAGCCCCAAACACGGCCGTGCTCGCTGCCCCGGGTGCCACACGGGACGCTTCTCTGGCATCGCAGCTGAGGGCGCGTCGAGGGCCTCCCTGGAGGTGCGGTGGGGTAAAGCTCGGCACTGCGACGCTGGCCACGGCTGCTCCATGTGAGTTCGATCCCCACTCTGGAGGTGAGCGCGGGGCGCGGCAGACCCACTGGTCCACCCGCCTGTTCTGCTCCCCACTCTGACTGTGGAGAGTCCTCTCACAGCCCCTGCACCTCTGGTCTGTACCCAGCTCTCTATACGTAAATAAATCTTTTAAAAAGAAAAGGGCGCATTGAGCAGCAAAGGTCGTCTTCGCCCAATACAGACGAAACCCCCCAAGGTTTAATACCAGTGCACGTGTTCTGAATGAGAACGCTTTCCGGCGTGAAGTCCTGGGACGTGGATGCGATCCATCCGTGGTATCTCTTTCCGCGCCCGTTTCCCACTCTCCCTGGGCGAGCGTGCCGTCATCTACCGCTCCCTCCCTCTCTACCTTCATCTGTCTTCTGGCCTCTCTCTACCCCTCTCTCTCTCCATTCACCGTCACCCGTCTACCCCCACCTCTCTATCCGCCCACCCACCCATCATCTGCTGCCCACGCAGCCACCACCCTCCTGACACGTGTATCGCGTCGCCGCCTCCATCCGCACAGAGCACGGCCATTGCTTCCCGAGCTGGCGGAGACCAGGAACCGCTGGGCTCGCCAGCTGGCTTCGACTGGCTGCGGCTCGGAGAGGCGGGGCGTCCCCCGGCACCCGGGGCGCCTTCGGGACCCCCAACTGCGTGCATGTACTTCTGCCTCGGTGGTGGCCGGTTCACTGCCTGGGCCTCCTCCACAGCGCGGGTGTGCGAGACACACCCTCGGCACCTCACCCTGCCATCCCGCCAGGTGAGAGATGCCTGACCCCCACGGGCCGCCGCCTGGGGAGCGGCTGAGGGTGGACGCCCTGACTTTCAGGGAGCCGCCAGCGCCTGGGGAGGGATCTCGGCTGAGCCAGCGAGCTGAGCACAATGGGTGTTTATGCAGAGGAAGATTCTGTTTCTGATTGTTGGGTGCTCAGCCAGATGCAGTAATGAAGTAATTTATGGGAGGAGGCGGGCGGAGGGGGTGGTTTGGCAGAGACAGTCCTGTCAGCCTGGGGAAATAATTTGCAAGTGTCTGAGCTTCGGGAAATTAACTGCAGGGTCGGAAGGAGCGATGGGGGGGAGCTGGGCCCCAGGCTGGAGGGCGTACCTTGACGACCAGGTGCAGCATCATCTGGAGGCCGTTCTTGCCGGGGTACTTCCCCGCAATGTTGGTGGCCGACAGGTTGAAGAGGTTGGCCCCCGTCTCCGTGCAAATGGCGTGGATCAGCATCTTCTTGCCCACCCCCGCGGGCCCGGCCAGCAGCAGGGACCGCACCAGGGGCGCCTTCTCGTGCACCGCGGCCGAGCCTGCAGCAGACAGAGGCCCTGGGCGCCGGTGTTCCCCAGGCTGGGGCGCCGCG